CATGAATACAAACCAGATAAATTGCCTACAAAAGATTCAGCAGGGAAATCTAAGCCACTTGAAGGTCATTAAAATCTTACTACTTAAATTCTTACCAAATGTAACCTCTCAGCATTGTGTTCTTTAGTGAAAGTCCTAAAAAGATAGAGCCCCTTTCAATTGCCTAAAAATCCTGCTAGTAATTAGACCTTTAGCATTTCCAAGAGCTTGTTTATAGGAGAAAGAAGATCTGTTGTTCCCTCTCAATTATAATTAAAATTTTCTAATCGCTGCAAAAGTCACTTTCTATTTATGGCTTCTGCTTTTATTTTGCCTTGCACAGTCCCAAGGTAGAATAGTCAAGTAATTTACTGCTTCAGGTGTTCATTTTAGTAATTTGGTATTTTAAATCTGTAATAGAAGAAACAAATCAACTTGAGGGAATACTAACAAGGTTGAGAAATGGTCTTACTTCAGTTACTGATTTCAAGTGCTTCTTTACTCATGCTTCAAATGCCAGTGCAGTGCACTATCTGACATCCCTGCAAACACAGTTTTAAGAGTACTAGCAGGACAGATTATTTTTTTAGATAATTTAAAAAAAATCGCACGTCTACATGAAGCCTCAGAGGAAAGGGAGGGATAGTTATTATAAATTAGAAACGAAGCCAACTCAACCCCTGCCCAAAGCACTCAGCCAACCTCTCACAAACCCTCCTACTTGGTTGCAAATCATAGCGAGACCACAAGAGGGGAGCACAATACAAGAGTTCACGTTTCGTGCCAAAACTGAGATCACTGCACACAGCAGCTAAAGGAGGACACAATGCATTTTAACACCACATTAGCAAGCACTGGGCTTAATCCAGTCTTAAATTAACAATGACATGGTACCACTAACTAATACTAGTTTGTGTCTACTCTTGTTTTGTAATGGCCTACCTATTCTCAGATGACATGGGGAGAAAAGCAGGATTACTCTTTTTTTACAGACAAATTATTTTTCTTCCCATTTTTTTAGATAGGGAAACTAAGACAGAATGTGGTAGGCTGCTTTGTGCCAAGGTGATAGATACTTCTTCCCTCTCCCTTAGGCTTTTGGACGGTTTAAGTAAAAATTTGGACTATGCAAGGTATAAAACAATAAAAGTTGAGGCCATCCATAACCTCTCAAAATCTCCAGAATAAACTTTTCAACACTTTCCATCCCTTTCACCTGCTGGCTCTCGATCTGATGGTCCATACAGCACAACCTTCATCTGCAGCAGTCCCATGTGTGAAAAGTTTACTCCAGCATCTCTCAGAAAAAGTCACTGTAGCTTTCAGTGGCTTGAAATGTTGAAACTGAGATAGGAATAAAACGTCTTTGGAAAGCAGTCATAGCCTCTCCACTTTTATATTGACTTTCTTTTTTTGGCTCTATATCTAAGATTAACTGTCTAAGCAAGTTTTCTTTAAAAAGAAAAAAAAAAAAGGAAAAGGCATCTGGCACAGAGGTCTTCTTTCTGCAGCAAACAAGAGTCCCTCTGGAGCCTTTAACCCCACAGAGCAGCCTGGAGGCCACAGGGAATGTAACTAGCCAGCCTGAGAGATGATGAGGACTGCCAGGGTGATAAACCCTAGTTTGAAAGGTCAGCAGGAATTTGGTTTGCTTCTCACAGGCCAAAGAATCTCCAAAGAAACAAAGCTTCTATACCAGAGCCAGAATTACGGCCTATCTTACACAAAGCAACTAGTTGCACAGGGAAAGGTTGGGCATGAAAAGCCTCCCACAATTCTCTCGTCAGAGAACACAGTCCATTTGTTAAATATCCCCAAATTGTATTTATAGTCAAGATTCACTCAGCTTTTCCAGCCTTTGAATCATGCCCTGCTTCCTTTCTATTATCGCACAGTTTTCCCCCTGTATGGGTTTCATGACCATATTGGCTCTTAACCTCCTCTCAGAATTTCATTTCACAAGCCCTTTGTCAGCTCTGGGAACCTTTTCTAAATTTCTGAGCTACTGAGAAGTGACTTTTACACTTTTCTCAAGGGTTTCACAGGTGGGTTTGGAAAGGACAACATCTTGTCCACTTAGGTCAACAGCAAAATTAAGTTGCACATTCTCTAGCTCTGCTGTTTGATGATCAGTAGAATCATAGAATGGTTTGGATTAGAAGGGACCTTTAAGATGATCTAGTTATAATTACCCTGCTATAGGCAAGGACACCTTTTACTAGGCCAGGTTGCTTAGAGCTCCAACCTGGCCTTGGGCACTGCCAGGGATGGGGCATCTACAGCTTCTCTGGGCAACCTGATCCAGTGTCTCACCACACTCACAGTACAGAATTTCTTCCTCATATCTATTCTAAACATACTCTCCTTCAGTTTAAAATAATTTCCCCTTGTCCTGTCACTACATGCTCTTGTAAATAGTCTCCTCCATCTTTGTTGTAGTCTCCCTTCAGGTACTGGCAGGCAGCAAGAGAAGTCACGCAGAGCCTTCTCTTTTTCCAGCTGTACAAGCCAAATTCTCTCAACATTTCCTCCATCCCTCTGATCACCTTGGTGGCCCTCCTCTGGACTCACTCCAACAAGTCCATGTCCCTCCTGTGCTGGGGACCCCAGAACTGCGTGCAGCACTCAAAGTGGGGTCTCACCACAGCAGAGGGGTAGAATCATCTCTCTCACCCTGCTGGTCACGCTGCCTTAGATGCACCCCAGGACACAGTTGGCTTTCTGGGCTGCAAGTGCACATCGCCAGCTCATGTCCAGCCTCTCGTTCACCAGCACCCCCCAGTCCTTCTCAGCAGGGCTAGAACCCAGTACAAGCAGGCTGATCCTTCCATCAGCTTCAGGCTCAGACCCACAGCTTCAGCTGGATATTTAAGGAGCTTGGCATTTGGAAATAGTGTATACTGAGTTTTACAGTATTTTTAAGGCCCAGTGAAAATAGATATGTTTACAATGTCTATTGCTGACTGCTTACAGCCTTTTCTCTTGCTACTTTGTCCTGTGGCAGCTGCTGTTAAAAACAAAGTGCCTGAGTGAGCCAGCCCACGCATACACATCATGTTTCCTCCTTGTCTACCCCTCCAGTAACTGCTTCCTCCCTCCAACACAGATGAAGTTCAGCCCTTTATCTTCCTCATCTTAGACCACTGACCTTCTACCCCAAAGGGCATCCTGACCAACAGGGTGAGTCTGCCCTCCACAAAAGAGTCCCAACACTGAAGGGTTTTTTTTGCATCAAGGGACAGACTCAGCTCAGTCCATATAATTGGCATGGAAAGGTGCCAAATGCCTAAAACTATGTTTTATGTGCTGCAAGTAATATATAGCACTTCTCATCTAGTATCACTCCCCAGAACAGCCCATGGCATGTGACCTGTGACTACAGAAGTAGAAGGTAAATCAGGAATGAGTGGGCAGTATTTCTCAAAAAAAAAAAAAAAAAAGTGACCAGTGTAATGATCAGTCTTAAAGCAATCCTGGAAAGGTACTTTCTCCCCAGCACATAAAAAAAATCACTGAGTTCTTTGCACAGGATATTTATTATAAGGGCCAAAAGTATTCATGGATTTAAATTGCACAAGGCTGTTCGGTAGAGGGAAGAATCAGTAGTTCATGAGAGGTCTGGATGCAGTGTTTGGCTCAGGTGAGCCTTTAAACCACTGCTGGTGAGAGTCTGGAAATGACAGCCTGGGTAACAGTCACCCTCAGTACATCCAGTTCCCTGAACACTTCCTGCCAGGGCTTGGGGACACCATCCTCAGTGAGACAGGTTATTGGTCTTGTCACATACTGCTGTCCTGTCCTCACTTCTCATTTGCTGACACCCAGGCAGACTTTCCTCCCCTGGCTCTCCATACACTGAACTGCAGCCTCTTCTTCTCTTATGGGCTGCAGGCACAGACACAACCGGCTGCCAGTAACACGTGAGATCCTGGTTGAGCCAAGAGACTGTGGCACTGCTTCCCTCTGCACGGCAAGGCTTACTGCCAAGAGGGGCAGGAACAGGGGGAGAGGCTTTGGAAGGCTGCCTGTATTCAGTGCTGCCATTTGGTGCAGGTGAGTTGTGTCCCCTGCCTGCATCTGCTGGGGGAAGGTGGGCAGGAAATGAGAGAGCAAATCTCTTCTTGGGATTTGACTCAAAACTAAGAAGTAAAAATAAGAAAATCGACTTTAGTTGTGCCTCAAATTTCATGCATAATGCAAAGAAACATTGTATGCTACCTACGGAAGGAGGTAACATTTGGTTCTCACTAATTGCTGCCTTGCACCTTTGGACTGTAAGCTGCACAGTGAGAGACTGTGTGTCACAACAGCAAAAGTGTTTGTACAGTACTATACAAGAACCTGTGTAATAGGGTCTTGATCTCATTTGGAGAAATCTCTGCACTACTGTAATAAATGCAATGATTTTGCCTCTTACAGATACCCTGTGTGTGACTTTTTCAAAATAAAGCATCAGAGTAACTGCAAAACAAGTTTGTTATATCAACATACAAATGCCATCTGTCAAAAACTGAAGGCAAGAATTCTACCATATTAAGTGCCAAGGTCTATGTTAAGAAATATTTCAACATATTTACATTCCTCCCATTCTGAAAGCATCTACATACCTTGAACACAGAGTCACTAGGAAGAGAATCACTAGGAACAATTAACAAACACCTACTGCCTCCCCTGGCAGTTTGTCTGGGTGTTCACAAGTTTCCCAACAGAGAAAGATTTGCTTATTTATCTGTTTTATGGCTAATAAGGCTTAAAGCGTAGGAGTAGAAATTGGTGTTGTAGAATTCTCATGTTGTAACAGCCTCTTTGAAAGGGAAAGTTAATAGTTTTTCCTAATGATGGTCAGATTCATCATCTCTTCTCTGGAAATTTATCCCATGACTACTGTGCCTTCAATGTGAAATAGAAAGAAATGAGTAGGAAAAAGCCCTGTGAACTTTACTTTCTGACTGTGTATAGTTGTATTTATTGCACTGAGAGAAATGTACCATGTTGGTTTATTTTCTGTTCTTTTTTGGAAGGGGATGAAGGTGAAAAAGGAGACAGAGGAGAAGTAGGCAAACAAGGAAAGGTTGGACCAAAAGGACCAAAAGGTATTTATAACATTTTGTTGGCTATTACCGGTATATGAATATCATTATACACAACTGTACTGGTGCATATGATTGGTGATCTTTAATGCTTTTCATTCCTGTTGCACCAGTGGATTTCACAATCCTGTCAAACATTAATCAGAGAACCTAACAATACTAAGAGAGCTTGGTGCAATTCCTACCGATACCATATATGGCTGTCATGAGTGTGAGTCAGAAGACCCAGATCATATGTATAGTCAGAAAGATTACTGATCGTTAATCAAATGATCCTTTAGTTGGAACTGATTTTTGAAATCTATTTCCTAGTAATACATCAGGATGCCAAATAAAATTGGGTCTCAGTTGTCTGTATTCTGCAAAAGAGCAAACAAAGCCATACACTGAAAACAGAAGTTCCTTTGATCAAAGAGCATCTGAGTTGAGAACAAAGAGTCACAGATGTTTCAGGACTCAACTCAATTAAACATATCCCACATCCACAGTGTGACCTGTGGAGGGCATTAGGAGGCAACAAACATGATAGTGTCAGCCTTGTTTGCATACTCAAAAGCTTAATTTATCTTTAAAGTTTGATGATAATGGATATGCACGGTCTTTCCTCCTTGATAGTGGTATAAGACTAATCAGGAAAGTTTCTACTTTTACAGAACCTTTAAAATCACCCTGCTATTATTGATACAATAAAAAACTTTTCCCATTTTTAAACGCATTCTTATGATTTTGATTCTTACCTTAAAATGAACATCAGGTAAGATATGAGGGAATCAGCTAACCAACCATTAACAAAGCATCTTACTGATGCTAAATTCAGTGTGCAAACTGAGATTCCCTAGACTGGCCTGTCATCATTAGACAGCTATTTTAGAACTTGAACTACTAATCAGTTAAAAAGCACATCCTTTATTTTGGTGCTCTGAAGACAGAGAAAGCACATACAGCAAAACTAGCTCCCTACTTGAAATCCAGCTTTGAGAAGGATTCCCAGCAAAGCTGCAAGGCCTTTACCTCAAGAAAGAAGGAAAGACTTTTGTCTGGAGTGGAGAAAAATGAAAACAAATAAAGCTGCTGGCAGCCTGGTTTGACTGTGAAGTAAAATCAATATTTGAATATTCACTAGCAATTTTAGTTTGTATTTTCTGTAAGAAAATATGGTATTTCTGGGCATTTGAACAGGCACTTCTACTAAGGTGCCTTGCAATGTCCTACTGTTGCATCCTACAGCAGCAGAGATCTGTGCTGTACTCCTCCAAATGTCCTCAGGGCTGCACTCATTCTGACTTCGCCACACATGCAGACTGACCACACTCAGAAAAAATAGCAGCAGTAGATGCCTAAACAGTGCCTTGGAAAAGAAATTACAGAAACCATTCATACTCATTTCCTTTTCATTTCTTCTCTTAGGAAATAAAGGACCAGTGGGGGATGCTGGTGACCAGGGAATGCTTGGGAAAATTGGACCGATTGGTGGCAAGGGTAAGCTCTGGTCTGGGAGTTTTCTTGTTTTTTTCCCTCAAGATAAATATGTGTTCTGTGAGAGTTCCAGAGATGGAGTAATATCAGATAATGGCTGTGACAAATGCTCTCCAAATAAAGTTATGCATAAAAATTTGTGATGAGAGCTAACTGAGATATTCTTGTTTTATTTCCCACATGCACTATTATCTGACTTACTTGGATAAAATAATTTGGTTTATGAGTTAAAAAAACAATTTTCTTTGATGGATCTAGAAAGTGTCTCTGCTCATTGCAGGAGGGTTGGACTAGATGATCTCTGAAGGTCCTCTCCGACCCAAATTATTCTGTGATTCTACAGTAAAAGAGGAAAGGAGAAATCCAGCCCTTGTGAGGCAAATTCTCTGAATGTTCTAAAAGAGAAAGACAAATTTGTGACTCTGATTTGGACTCTGAAGACCTAAGTTAATGTTCTGCTGCTGTTCAGGATGCCACACCTGGTCACCTTTATTGTTCTGGGTCATGTGAGCACAGGACAGCTTGGTAAGGAAGGGATTTAGGAGTTTTAAGAAGACACTCACATAAGCAGGGGTGACAACTGCTTGCAAATCAAAGTAGACTCCAAGTCTGCCTGGACAGTAATTTCAGAAATTACTCTATTCAGAAATGCTCTATTTATCTTAAGAAGAAGCTTGGGCATTTCTTTCTGGTATTTCTAAAGAGCCACTTAAGAGGGAATATCAATTCTGCCACAAGGAGACCTGCTTTGAAAGCGGATCAGGGACTCCATCACCCCCAGTGGAACTCTGTGGTCTCTAACCGGTGCATCAGCCCAGGTATGCTGGTGAGTAGGTGGAACAATCTCTCCAGGGAGCTTCTCAAACCAGAGTTTTTAATAAACCTTTGATGGCCTCTAGCCAGCCTTAGCATCAGAGAAGAAAAGGGTTTTTTCTGAGGAACTGATTTTCAGAAGTACCTAGACAACTGAAAACCCAGAGAGTTTCTCCTAAGAGGTCTTCAATCATCCAGGAAACAAAAAATTAAGTATCTCACAAATAGCTTTTCTTTATCTGAAAATAAACCAATGCTCTGAGCCTTTAAACCAAGCTTTCTCAATCTGAATGCATAATTTATTTTGCCCTTACAGTTTTCTCATTTTCTTTATTTGCAGAAGCAAAGGTCACTAACTCACTGTTTAAATCTACAATTAAACATTCTAGTTCTTAAGTAAGCAACCCTGAAATTCCAGCTTGCAAGCGTGCAGTGTCAAGCAATGCTAACTAAAATGACAGCCAACATGTAAATTCTTTTAAAAATCACAACCATATAAAGTAAAAAGTTCATCAAAACATGGCCATCAATAAGGCAGAGTAAGCAGAACTTTTTCACCTCTAAAGGTTTAATTCATAAAAGAAGAGCTGACATGAATTCCAGATAAAGTCCAGCTGCCCCTGATCCAAATTACAGCTGAGATCTTTTTAAAAGCTAGGCACCTCCACTTATATAGTAGCAGAGCATCGTAAATCATTTTTATGATTTACAAAAGAAGAGGAAATCAGTTGGATGAAAATAATTCACATTTACATAAACTGCAACCAAAGTTAAATGCTGCTCCTTACTGACCTCCCTCTGTGCAGGTGCAGGTGCCAACTGCTGCCCACACACACAATCCATTGCACACATGAATTCAGTGGCTTAGTGCACATCAGCCTCCTCTGGTGCCTCAGCCCATCATAGAGCTACTGCACCCAGGGAAGGGCTCTGTCCTGCAGGCCCGTGAGAGAACACAGATCTCACCTCTCCAAGGTTTCTGGAGTGCTTTCAGCCTCTCAGGATTGTTTTGCAGTTTATATTTAAAGTAAGTAGTACCAGGAACCAGCAGCACACAAGATGCCTGTGTTATCAGCAAGTTAGCCATTAAAAGGTTCTCATTTCCATACACCAGAATTAATCATGGTTTGTTTAACTTGGCATGTCTTCCAGTACAGTACATCAGAGCTTCCTATCAGAAGCATGCTGTTAATATATTATTAAACAGGCTTTCGAATACACTCCCCTGACATGTGCACTGTCTGAGATCTGCGAATGTTTTCCTCTTTATTCAGGTGACAAAGGAGCCAAGGGCTTATCAGGGGTTCCTGGAAAGAAAGGAAAAGCAGGTATGCTATGCATCCTTCTCTGCAGAACGGTCAAGTCTGCTGGATTTTTGATTTCAGTGTTGGTTTATCTGGAGTTTCTGGACATTTTGAGGCCCATGGGAAAATATGAGAATAAACAGGAGGAGAATGAAAATGTTTTGTTGAGCAAAATGAAGACTAGGGTAGGAACATGGCTGATGCCTATGAATACACCAACAAATATAAAGAGCCAACCAAATTAATGGGCAATGTTTGTTATCACAAAAACTAGCACACAGACAGGCCAGCAGTTTACATTTATACTGGATTCTAGAAGAAAGTTTTTTAATACCAAAGGAATTAAATTCATTAACAGTTTCCTAATAGGACTATGGGGATGAAAAAATAGGATAGAGCATAATCTGTTGTCAAATGAATGCAATGCACTTGCCTACAGGAGGAGAATTTGAGTCTGATGAGTTAGAAAGTTCTTCTGAGTCCTAATAACTTTGAATGGTTACCCACCTTGAACTTACACTTGTGTTCATTTTTAAGAGATCTCATATGCAATGTCGTTTTGATTCATAATGGGAAACAATTAATAACTTATTTTCTTTTGAGAATAACAAAAGAACAAACAAAACCTATACCATGCCAAATTTCAGTTTACAAAAAAATCCAAAACAACCCAACCCTCAAAAAACTAATATAACTAAGACTTCAGTGCTTGAAAGCTATTGATTATTTGAGTTGGTATTGACTTACTGCTGTACCACAGCTGTATGTATTCACTAACATAGTCCTTATACCGAAGTTTTGCCAATCCCACCTCTATGTATACTCACAAAACATCTTCACTGAGAAAGTAGCATTTTTATGGGTGCTGTTGCTTCTGTTAGAAGGCTGGGGAACCTGTGCTGATTACAGATACAAAGGTAGATCATTGGTATTCAGATGCAAGGCTGTAGTGATCCTCATGATAAGTCACATCTCTGAAGTTAGATGGAATCAATAATGAGGGGGCAGAGAGTGTGTAAATCCCGCACTGATATGGGTCTAAAAAAGATGACAAACTCTTCTATCTGCATTTTTAAAAGCAGGGATTCTTAAGCCAGTTAGCAAGGGATTTTACAGAGACAAAATATTTAGTGCTTTGATCAACAGAAGTATAGCCAGTGGGCCAAGGTGAGACTGGCTGTCCACAAGTGGAGCCTTGTTCTTCAGAGGCTTTGGAAGTGGGATATAGGTGACTCTCCATGCACACACACAAATTCTTCTAAACAGATAAATCCTCTACCCTTTGCATTGTGTCAGGCACGGTGTGTGACTGTGGAAGATACCGCAGATTTGTTGGACAACTGAATATCAATGTTGCTCGTCTTAATACCTCCATCAAGTTTGTAAAGAATGGTAAGGATCTTTATGTATTTGATGGGCTTTATTTGGCTCCAATAACAGTTACCATTGGTATTCTTCTACCATTGCCTCTCTATGGCAGAATCCACAGATGACCCAACCTGCTCCAAGGAGGCAGGAAAAGCAATAGGAACCTCTTGATCTTTCTGCTGCCCAGGAAGGCTGCAGACATTGTATTCCTAGTGCTCCCCTCAGTGCAAGCATCATTTTCCTGTAACAGGGGACCAACACTCAAAGACGTGGGTTATAAGAAGCCACATTTGCGGGCAGTGCTGTCAGGTGGACAGTGAAAACTGCCCCACTGAAAGGAAAGTTTCCTGGAATATCAGAGATTTTGAGACAGTTCCACCACTGCTTCCAGGATTGGGGTTGCATCAGTAAATTTAATGCATTTGAGACTGTTCTCTGTCACTGCAGGCATCCAGCACAGAAGTCAGCTGTATTATACATTCTACAAAACTGAACAACATAATCTCAAGGAGTGTCTCTCTACCAACCCCTAAGCGGGGCCTGGGGTAACTCCTGAATTGTTTGGGATAGTGTTAATTGTCCCAGGCCAAACACTGCTCAGGACCATTCCAACAATCCATCAGCAAAGACTACCAACTTCCAGCTGTCCAGGCATGCCTCTTGTCACTGCTTAATTCACTAGGTCATACACTGACTGAGAGGTCTGCCTTTTAAAGCTGCTGAGCAGCCACAGTTTTCTTCCTAGTCAATGCCACAGAGTGTTACAGCAGCTCTGAATATCAGGCTGTATTTAAAATGTCTTATTTTAGCAGTCACATTCATTTTCCTCTACATGGAAAGGGCCTGAAAAGCTATCTATACCACTATGTTTCTATCCCTGGGCACTCATTCACCATTTATATTCAAACACATACAGTGGGGGTGATCCAGAGTTAGACATTGCTATTTGACCATTTAGTATGCCTTTATTTGGCTAGTACTAGGTATTGCTGAAGTAAAACTTTATTGTCACAGGAAACACACCAACAAGGACTGAATAGTTCTTGTCCTAACGTGTGCAAGGTGCTTGTCAGTCCCATTACTTGCATCGCTCTCCAATCATGTCCTCACTGGTCATCATAAATTCAGTGCTGGGAATACTTTTCCTCTTTTCCTTTTATTAATTCTAATGTAAAAATCATTTTACTGTCATGTTGGAATAGAAGCACCTTCAGAGCGTCTATTGACATGCCATTAAGTGTTTTTTCTTCTCCTTCAAAGTAATAGCAGGTATCAGGGAGACAGATGAGAAATTCTATTACATTGTGAAAGAAGAGAAGAATTACAGAGAAGCCTTGATCCACTGCAGGGACAGAGGAGGAACACTGGCCATGCCTAAAGACCAGACAACCAATGCCCTGATTGCTGACTACATCTCCAGCAGTGGTCTCTTCCGAGCCTTCATTGGGCTGAATGACATGGAAAAAGAAGGACAGTTTGTGTATGCAGACAACAGCCCACTGCAGAACTACAGTAACTGGAAGCAAGGGGAGCCTCACGACCCAGCTGGCCGCGAGGATTGTGTGGAAATGCTCAGCACAGGAGAGTGGAACGACTCTGAGTGCCAAGTCACCATCTACTTTGTATGTGAATTCCTCAAGAAGAGGAAATAAAAGTGCCAGAGAATGTGCCTGGCACCTGCTGTATATACAATAAACCATCTTCATTCATCCACTGTAGGGAGAGTGAATCAGGGGTAGTCAACTAGGGATAGGAACTTAATCTAGCCTTCACATCATCATGTTAAGCAAGAGTAGCTACTCTTTAGTCATCAGTGACAGTAAAGTCAGCAAAGGTCTGCAGAGGGCATCCAGCCAGTTGTGAATTTTTATTTCATTTATACATGTATTTTAGGGTGGGCATTTCTATGTGTAATTTAGGGGTAAATTTAGAGTTTGCAGAGGTGAATATAATTTCACCAATGCCAGAAATAGTAAGCTCATTGGTATATTAATCACTGATGTGATTTGTGAAGTCCACAAAGTGGAAAAAAAGTGAAAGAGTGCGATTTTCACTAATCTCTGACCTGTGCAGGAAGTCCCAGTAATCTCCCTGGTGACTTCAGAGCTGAGAGAACAGATTTACAGCTTCTCTTGAAAAAATTCTTCGTTTATTAGAATCATAGAGTAATCTGAGGTGGAAGGGATCTCTGGAAGTAATCTGGTTGAATCATCCATGCAAAGCAAGGCCAACTTCAAACTTAGAAGTTGGAATACTCCCTTAATTTGACTGTGCAATTATATTGCCTGATATGCATTTATCTGGACTTCTGCAAAGCCTTTGCGTGGATGCCCACAACATCCTTCTCTTTAAATTGGAGAGAGATGGATATGCTGGGTGAGCTATTAGACGAATAAAGAATTGGTTGGACTGTCACATCTGGATGTTAGTGGTTGATGGTTCAGAGTCCTGATGGTCATCAATGACAAATGTTGTGTGTGTCCCTCAAGGGTCCATTTTGGGACCAGTGTTATTTAATAGCTTCATTAATCACACGGACAAAAGGATTGAGTGCACCCTCAGTAAATTTGCATATGACACCGAGCTGAGTGGTGCAGTTGACAGACCTGAAGATCAGGATGGCATCCAGAGGGGCCTGGACAAATTCGAGAAGTGGGCTCATGGGAACCTTATGAGGTTTAACAAGACCAGGTTCAAGGTGCTGCACCTGGGTCAGGGCAACCCCCGGTATAAAAACAGGCTGGGGATGAACAGACTGAGAGCAGCTCTGCCGAGCAGGCCGTGGGGGTGCTGGTGGATGAGAGGCTGGACATGAGCAGGCAAGGTGCACTCACAGCCCAGAAAGCCAATCATGCCCTGGGTTGCATCCAAAGCAGCGTGGGCAGCAGAGCAAGGGAAAGGATTCTGCCCCTCTACTCCACTCCTGTGAGGCTGCATCTGCAGTGCTGCATCCAGCTCTGGGGTCCCCAGCACAGAAGGGACATAGACCAGAGGAGGGTCATCAAAATGATCAGAGGGATGGAGCACCTCTCCCGCAAGGAAAGGTTGAGAGAATTGGGTTTGTTCAGCCTGAAAAAGAGGAGGTTATGGGTGACCTAACTGCGGTCTTCCAGTACCTGAAAAGGGAGCCTACAGGAAACTTGGAGAGAGACTCCTTGCAAGGGCAGGAAGTTACGGGATAAGAGGGAATAAATTTAAACTGAAGGAGAGTAGGTTTATATTAGATATCAGGAAGAAATTCTGTAAGATATCAGAAAGAACCACTGTGAGAGTGGTGAGGCACTGGATCAGGTTGCCAAAGAAGTTGTGGATGCCCCACCCCTGGAAGTGTTCAAGGACGGGTTGTATGGAGTTCTGAACAATTTGGTCTAAGAAAGCTGTTCCTGCCTATGGCATGGGAGTTGGAACCATATCTTTGAGGTCACTTCCAACCCAAGCCATTCTATGGTTTTACAAAGGAGAGGTCTTGCTTATCTCTGCTTCTAACTCTATCTTCCATCAGTCCGGTCTGAGGTGTGAGGAATTAGTGTGCATACAAGCCTGCACAGTTTGTAGGAAACCTGAGAATAGGTGGAGAACTCCTAGCCTCTGAAGTCTCCCAAAATCTATGAAAAAAACAGAAAAATAAATATAGCACAAAGAGAACAATACTTATAGGCTGTAAACAGGCACATGTAGTATAAGCTACACCTTGTGCATTGTTGGTTTAACGAGTGATTCTAGAAACATATTAACTCCCTAACTCAGAAGGCAGTGACATATGATGTCTAATGCTAAAATCACCCATGCCTTTGCAACACAGGACACAACTTATGCCCCAAGAATTCAGGTGTGGATGAGCTACTAAATCACACACTTCAGAGAGACTCCCCAAAAATGATGAGCAGTGAACATGAAGGCTCTGTTGTCAGTGCCTGGCTGTTCACATCTGCATGTCAGAATGCCCACAAGGGATCACAGTTTCATGTCTTTGAGAATATAGACAGAACTTTTTTCTTCAGACACAACAACGACTTTGCCTTCAGAAGTGAGCCTATTCTTAATCATGGTTCGCCTTTCCTCACAGCAGATGTCAAGAGAAATCCCATGGACATTGCAATGAAAGTTTCCTTTCCCACTTGACACTAAAAATTAAGGAATGATATCTGGAAGCTAAGGAGAATGCTAGACACTAGGCATCATGCAGCAATGCACCCTGTCGGTCACTCTGAGTACGAGCTGCACAGAATCTTCCTCTGGGTATATGAAGAGGTGGACATGCCACCAGTTGGTAATGCAGAGGATGAGCTCCAAGTCTCCTACTACTTTGCATAGCACTGCAAAGCAAACAGACAATAGTCATACTTCCTCAACCTCACCCTCAGCGCAAAAATCCTCCAAACCATTTAGCTGATTGTTAGTTTGACTCCAGGTTCACCTCTGAGCAATGACCAATGCAGGAAGATCCCAGAAGACTCTGTGACTCAGAACCACTCTTGTAATCCAGTTTCTCTGACACTTGTTCCTCCAGAAAACCACTCGTTGCTACCAGCAGTAAATTATCCGTGTTGCTACACGCCCTCCAGAAAACTATTCAATGTTTTCATTACTCCCCTACTGTGCTATGAGAGTATTTAGGCAAACAGGTTCACTCACCATAACATAACTCAGCATGAATTGCTGAGAATTGATTCCCCAAAATTAAGCAGAATTACACTTTTTAGGATCTATACTAATAAACTCATTAAGCTAAACATTTTTGGTTTAGAATCATTCATGGGTAATGATAAAGAGTTAATGGCTAATTCAAGACTAAGTTTCTTGAGTAAAAGTAATGCCTTTTAGAAGTTCAAGCCCAGGGCTGCTGGCCTCACTCATGGCAGAGCAGTTCCTATCAGTCATGCAGAAGTGGCATAATGACATCCCTGTGGGTAGGCACAATCCTTTCTCTTCATCTCATCTTTTGACCCAAAAAGCCACCAAAACATGCTTGCCAGACTGGAGGCCATATTTTGAAACCCTCTAGCCATACTGAGACCACTGGGTGACAAAATTTAGAGGTGTCATTAATGCTACAACCATCAGGAACTGCACATTTTCCCGTTCTTTAGGAGGAAACTCAGCTGGGAGAAGGTGAAAGAGGAGCATTACTTTGCTGCAGGATCAAGTTCTGCCTCATATTAGACCAGGTACTCATCTACACATTCAGAATCAGGGAATACATATCTAAGTTGAAACTTTAGGGTTTTTTTAGGTGACCATGAGTTATGAGTAATCCTGGAGCATGCTCCACATACAAGAAGGAGTGATTGTCACAACCTCTGGCTGCATGGCTGAGGGAAGTGAGTGAGGACCTTGTGTAAGGTTTCTACAATGGAAAGGTTGGAACTGCCCTCATCCTCTCCTACCACACCAGCTTCATCCTTTCTTAAACAGAGAAAAATAAACAAAACCAACCCTTTTACACACTATGTAGTAATGTAACACTGGGCAAGGCTAGGCCAGTTGAAACAAGCAGACTTTGGGGTCACAGTTTCTTTGGTGACTACAGAAGAGGGACAGTAGAGGAGCACAGCAGATGTTAAAGCCAGCCAGGCATAAGTGTGATCAGGTGCTTGTGCAACCTATTTCTGCAGTACTAGGTCCCAGTTAATAACTTCTACCAAGGAGCCTAACCCATAGGCCAGGCCAAAAAAATTAAGCTATCTCATAGAGGAAACCTGGCAGGTAAGTGCATACAACCCTGCACCCTGCCATGCAGACACTGGCTTGAGCCTTCACTAACTGAAATACTACAGTGGTGTTTTGCAGAAAAAAATATGCTTGTTATAACTAAGAATATGGGATATATCAAGGGTCTCATTGGTAGCCAATGGAAATTCACTGTGGTGGGTAAAGTATCTTAGATTTCTGCGCTAGGTGGATGGAGCCAGGAACACAGGAAATGGTGTCTGACTATTCACGATTTATGGTCTGTTAGTGCTTGACACCTAAACCATTTTACCCAAACACAATATTATTTTTTACATGTTTTTCTTTTCATTACTGCCAGGCTGAACATTTCTTTTTTCAATTTATACCTGCTGTTTCTTGTCCTCCCACCAGCTACCACTGTGAAAAGCCTGGCTTTGTCTTTTTGAAGACTCCCTTACAGGTCCTGGCAGGCTGTTATCAGGTCCACTTTAATCCTGCTCCTTTAGCTCCCCCCTCACATGGCTCTGACTTCTAACCACCTTTGGGGGTCTCAGTAGAACTTGGCTCCAATTTTTCATGCCTTTCATGGAGGGGCTCAAAAGGACTCGGTATCTAGATGTGGTCTAACAGGTGCTGAGCAGGAGCATAATCCCTTCCCACAAGCTCCTGGCTGTGCTCCCTCCAGCACAGTACAGATGCTGTTACCATCTTTGATGCCAGGACACACTCCTGATGCATTGGCAGTGTGCTCTCTGCCAGGACCACCCAGAGCCTTTACAGTAAAGCCAGTCAGCCCCAGCATGCAAGGGCTCAGCATTCCCAGGTGACAGAAACTTTCATCTGTCCTTGCTGAATTTCATGAGGTTCCTCTTGGCTCATTCCTCCAGCCTGCCTAGGTTCCTCTGTACAGTAGCACTGCCCACAGCATGTTTACTGTTCCCTCCAGTTTGGTGTCATCTGCAAACCTGAGAAAAGTGGAATTCATCACCTCCTCGAGGTAACTGGTGAAGATGTTAAACAGGACATTTCCAGCATCTAGATACCTGAGGTACTCTACTAGAAAAATGGGTAAATGTTCTCTGAGTAGAGAACAACTCATTTAACCATTCTCTTGTGAACCAAATCACCCATAGGCCATAAAATCCTAACTCAGACGCAAGAATTTTGTTGAAGACAATGTCAAAAGCCTTGCTAAATTTGAGGTAAATGACATCCACTTCTCTCCTCTCATCCCCAAATCCAGTCATGGAATCATAAGTACAATCAGGTTGTCAGGCATGATTTACCCTTGGGTACACCTATGCTGATTGTTTCCAATCACCTTCTCCTTCATATGCTCAGAAATGTGCTTCAGGAGGGCCCACTCCTTAAAGTTCCATGGGGTCCGAGGTGATGCTGATCAGTTTACAATTCCCCAGATTGTCTTTGGCCTTTCTGAAGAAGGGTGCAACATTTACCTATTTACAGTTATTAAGAACCTTCCACTACCTCCATTACTCTTCTGATTTGATAGAGTGGCTCTGCAGAGACATCCAATCAGTATTTTTGGCACCTTGGATCAGTACATGATCTATGTGCTCCCATGGAGTTTTCTCATAAACTCTCTTAAGTAATCCCTGGTCAAACACTGGAAGTTCTCTTTGGACCCTTTCCCTAAGCACAGAGGAATGGCATATTTTGGTGGTAAAGATGTCAAATAAACCTTAGAGCATTTCTGTTCTATCCATGTCTGCTGTCACTACATCATCTCCTCCATTCAGCAGTGGTTCCACATATTCTTGCTCAGGCTTTTTATACTAACGCAGCAGTGGAAGCTCTTCTTGCTGTGCTTCCCATGTAAGTCTCAAAGGCATTTAGGCTTTGGAGCCCCTGAGGCTACCCCTACAAACTCAGGAAATGTT